CCCCTCCCCATCTTTAACTGTGAATATCTGCTTTTATTTTTCACTGTATACGATTTAACTACACAAGTTTATTTGGTAGTCTGGTCCTAGCCTCGTCACTACTTTGCCGAGGTTAGGCTAGCACTTACCAGCACATGGGGTCGGTTGTGCTGATACTACACTCTGCACTGTGTGCAGATCCCGGTACTGGAGCATACAGACCTTAGCTTTGGGTTGCTGCCTTCAGTCCATTCGGAGATCCGAGGTAGTCCTGTAGGAGTCCGCAGTCCTTGACATCTCCTTCTATTGTTTCATCCTGTTTCATTTATGTATTTTAGAGACAACGTTGTATTTATTTTTCGGACCCTTATTTGTAGTATTCCTAGACCATTTGTGAAATTGTGACACCAGTTCTGGGTAGTTTATGTTTAAGGATTTATTTTGGTAATATTTAAATGGTTATATTCTGTTATTTCGCTTATTAAATTCCGTTGTTTATATAATGCTGGTTCTTAATTGTTAAAGAATTAAAATTAGAAAAAGGTAAATAATGCAAATGGTTGGCTTGCCTAGCTTTCACTAGTAGGCGCCATCACGACTTCCGAGGGTGTAAAATCCGAGTCGTGACACTTATTAATGAGAAAAATACTTTAATAGAAGAAATTAATGACATAGAAAAAGAGAGGGATAATATGGTAGTTTCCATTGTACATTTGAAGGAATAAGTGGAAGAAGTAACTAGAGAAAATAATTTGTCTAAAGCCAAATGAAAAAATGGATGGACAACACTAAGGGTAAAGAAGTTGCTAGTGAGGCTCAACTTGAGCCTGAGAGTGAGCTTAAGAAAGTTAAAACAAGTCTTGTTGTTGAGCTTGAAAAGAATAGGCAACATCAGGAGGATTTAAAAAGGGTTAAAAATGATCTTGATAAGTCACTTAATTGTACCCAGTCCTCTGATGTAATAACGTCTGTGTACAAGTAATGATGGAAACAGGCAAGGAATCGGGTTCTAAAAGGCTAAAACCTCCTATAATCCCTATAGCAAGTATGTAACTGTGGCTGATAATAGGTTGTGCACTCACTGTGGTCAAACGGGTCATTACAAGGACTCTTGTAAAACTAAAATTCAGTCTTTGCAGAAAAACAAAGTTTTTGTTGAAAAGAGGCCTACTGATGAGGAACCTAGTTCCCTAAAAAGAAAATATGTGCTGCCTGCATGGACAAAAAGAAGTTTGATCCGCCCATTCGATCATTATAAGGGACCCAAGCTGGCTTGAGTTCCTTAATCTAATAATTGATTTAGTGTGCACGCTGAAGTGAGAGGCAGCAGTCAAAAAAAATGGTACATGGATAGTGGCTGCTATAAGCATAAAATTAGAAAAATGAATGATTTCCTCTCACTTTAGGCCTTCCAAGGTGGGAGTGTGTCCTTTCGAAACGACAAGAAGGCTATATTCTTGGTGTTGGCAAAATTGACAAAACACTCTCCCGTGCAATTGAAAATGTGTACCAAGTGAATGGCTTGAAATATAGCTTGTTGAGTGTGTCTCAAGTCTGTGATAAGGAAAAATGAAGTGAGGTTCTTGTCCAAATCTTGCACTTTCACCTATCTTAAAACTGGTGAAATTATATTGATAGCCAAAAGATTCAAGAATAACTATGTTACAGACCTTGATTCACTAAATGGTGGTAATATAACATGCTTAAGTATCATTGACGATGATGTAGAGTTATGGCATAGACGACTAGGGCATGCGAGTTTTTATTTGCTGAACAAGTCGGTTATGGAGGACCTAGTTCGTGGGTGAAGCATTCATCACTGCTTGCTACTTGATTAACAAATGCATGATTAGGCCTCTTCTCGATAAGTCATTCTATGAACTACTCAAGTGGAGAAAACCAACGCTGACTTACCCGGGAGCCTTCGGATGCAAAATGTTTTGTTCTCAACAATGGTGGCAAATGGTCACAAAACAAAGAAGATGAAGATGGAGAATTTACAAATGCTCCTAATGAAGCTATAGATATTTCCAATGGAAAGACTGATTTGATGAGTCAAGTCAAGCAAAGCGATTAAGGAGATGCAGCAGAATCTCTAAAAGGCGCAGAGGAACCTAGTCCCTCTATCACTTCGACTGAAGCTGAATATATGGTTGTTGATGCTCTATTAGGTACTCCTGATGTAGAACAAAAGAGCGGAAGTCATAATTCTGTTGATTTCAATGATAATTCACATATGGAGGAACCTGGTCATTCAAATTCTGAAGTTCAAGTATCCAACTAGAAGCAAAAGAGTTCACATCCCTTCTAAATGTAATCACACCCTTAGACTCTAGTATTCAACCTAGTTCTAAGGCAAGGAACATGTTTTCCCTCTCAGCGTTCTTGTCCCAAATCGAGCCTATGAACATCAAAGAAGCATTGGAGAATGCTAACTGGATAGCTTCTTTGCAAGAAGAACTCCATCAGTTGAGAGGAACCAAGTGTGGCACCTGGTCCCCAGGCCTTCAGACAGAACAATGATTGGAACCTGGCCCAAAAGACTCTCACTTGAAGGTTTCCAAGGGAATTTTGAGGTATCCTAAGGGAACACAAGACCTGGTCCTTGTCTATTTTCAGGAGATACTTTTGACTTGGTTGGATATACTGATGCTAATTATGTTGAATATCTGGTGGATAGAAAGAGCACATATGGAATGACACATTTTCTAAGGGGCATGCTTGATCTCATGGGGTACAAAGAAACAAACTGTGTGGCTCTTTCTACTGCTAAAGCTGAATACGTGGTTGCTTCTTGTTGTGCTCAACTACTACAGATCAAGCAACATCTTGAAGACTTTGGTGTATTTACAGCTTGAACCCGGTACACCACAAGAGGACGAAGCACATTGATGTGCGACATCACTTTTTAAGGGATAATGTTGAAAAGGTTCTGATTTGTATGAAGTTTTGGAAGATAGAGGACCAGGTAGCAGACATCTTCACCAAGGCGTTGAGTAGTGAACACTTTGAAAGAAATCGTCCGATGTTGGGGTTGACCAAGCTTAACTAAGGACCTGGTCCCTCGATGATTGGCTATGTTAAGAAGGAAAGGTACAATGCTAAAAAGTATTTTTTGGCGATATCTCAATCAAATCTATACTATTACTGGTATACATACATGGCAGTTTCAAGACAAAACAAGTAAGAGTGACATTGCCCTTCTAGGAGTTTTTGCTCAAATTTTCAAAAAATCGTCAAGGAACTTGGTTCTTGTGATTCAGGTTAGTAGTCTCTTCAATACTTATATGCATTTTTAAACTACTGAAGTGTAATGTCATTAATTTATTCCCATCTCTATCCAAATTTTTGAAGTCCAAAATGTTAAAACTTTTCTGAACTGACTTGTTTCCCCGCAAAAACCATTTCCTTCTCTCACACCCAACCAAAACCGATTCTTTTCTTCAAAACTAAATCAACTTTATCTAAAAAAATCCTTCTCTCCAAATATGTAGAAGTGAACCCAACTCTGTCACCTCCCAAAATCCTAACTCCATCTGAATCGAAACCCAAGAAGTCTTTTGTGTTTTGATGATTTGCCAAACAATCTTGAAGAACTAGTTGTGATCAATTCCTTTGGTCTGGTTCTCATGGGTAATATGGCTAATTCGCAGGGGGAACAATGTGGAGATCTGGTTCTCAGGGAGAATATCAATTCTAAGTTTGTCATCATCAAAAGGGGAAAATTGATAAGTTGTGCGTCTTTTATTTTGATGATTTGACAAACTTCATGAGAGAACCAGATAAGGAACCTGATATAGTTAGTTCCTTTGCGTTCAGAGTAACCAATCAGATGGCTGGTTCAATTCTCAATGAAATCAGATAAGGGAACAGCAAAAGGAACATATATGGATTAGTTCCCCTGGTCATTGTATAGTCAACTCTATAGCTTTGATGGAAGAAAAAGAATGGGGTAAATCTAATTTTCTAGAGAGTGAGGCTGAAATTGTTGTTGGGTTTGTAGAAGCCTTAGAGGATGGAGGATGAAAGTTTGAGGAAATAGGTGGAGGACCTAAGAGAGCAGATGATCATTGATCAAAGGATTATGAATGAATGAATGGACAAGCTCATCAAGGCCTTAGCCCCTTACTTTTCCTCCTGCCCAGTGATCCATGTCTTTCACTCCTTCCAAATTCTCTTGAATTCCTATCTTCTTTTGATCCCTATGTTTGATGACATTGATACTTTATTTTTTAAAATTTTCATATTATATATTGTTGAACTACTGTGCTTTTATTATAATTACTCTACTATGGGCAATCACTCTATTTTGTGCAATAATATTCACTTGTTGTTATTGTTATTATTTATGTTGTATTGTCCAGGTGGCATGAGTTAATGTTACTGAACTTCTTTTTGGTTACATGTTACTGAACTTCTTTTTGGTTGTGCTTCTTTTGTTATTCCTTTCAATGATGCCAAAAGGGGGAAGTTATATAGGTGTCAACATGGGGAGGAACGAAATCAAATTAATATGTTGTGTTGTGCATGAAAGATAGCTCTGGTTCGCAAGGGAAACGATGAACGTTGCTGATAGCATGTTGATTATAGGTCTGATCCGCAAAAAAATATGTGAGGAATCTGGTTCTCAAGGGGAAAATTAATTTTGGGTTTGTCATCATCAAAAAGAGGGAAACTGATAAGTTATATTATTTTGTGTTTTGATGATTTACCAAACAATCTTGAAGAACCAGTTGTGATCAGTTCCGTTGGTCTGGTTCTCATGGGGAATATAACTAATTTGCAGGGGGAACAATATGGAGATATGGTTCACAGGAGGAATATCAATTCTAAGTTTGTCATCATCAAAAAGGGGGAAATTGATAAGTTATGCGTCTTTTATTTTGATGATTTGACAAACTTCATGAGAGAACGAGATAAGGAACCTGATACAATTAGTTCTCTTGCGTTCAGAGTAACAAATCAGATATCCGGTTCAATTCTCAATGAAATCAAATAAGGGAAGAACAGAGTAAACAAATATGGATCAGTTTCCCTGGTCGTCGTATAGTCAACTCTACAGCTTTAAACATTCTCAAGACCTTAGGATCACAAGGTTCCAGGTTGGGAAGCTTCTATATTTGACATTAACTAGGCCTGATATTGCCTATACAGTGCAGACTTTAAGCCACTTTACGCAAGCCCCTAAAAGGTCTCACTTGGAGGCAGCACATAGGTTGGTGAGATATTTGAAGAATGAACCGAGATTAGGCATTCTTTTGAGTGCAGATGGTGATATGACTTTAAGAGCATACTATGATGCAGACTGTGCAAGTTGCCCAAACTCAAAAAAGTCAGTAACATGCTACTTAGTAAAGCTTGGAGAATCTCTTGTCTCATGGAAGTCAAAAAAGCAGAATACAGTGGCAAGGAGTTCAGCAAAATCAAAATATAGAAGTATGGCACTAACAATCTCTGAATTGATCTGGTTGCTGAGAGTTTTCAAGGAACTGGGAGTTGATTTATCCACTCCAATTCAGTAGTTCACTGATAGTAAAGCAGCAATGCAGGTAGCAAGCAATCCAGTGTTTCATGAACGAACCAAACATATAAAGATTGATTGCCATTTTATAAGAGAAATTGTGTAAGAGGGTATGTCCCAGCAGAAGAACATGCATCAGACTTTTTAACTAAGGGACTTGGGAGTGTGCAGCATTACCACCTGATATGCAAGCTAGGTGTTTTGAACATCTTTATGGCACCTAGCTTGAAAGGAGGTGTTGAGATGGTTAGAATGACAGTTGATGACGGTTGTGAAGCTGAACACTTAGAGGGTGACAAAGTCAGTTAGGTGACGACTATGTACTGTAGGAGATTTAGTTAGTTAGTTAGTGGAGTAAATGTTATTTATATATATACTTATATGTAAGTGTGTTAGGATGATTTTAGCCATTGTAATCATTTTCATTCTCTGCAATTGAGATCTAGTTACTTCCAGAACCTTCCTTTTCTTCTTCCTTCCTCCGATTCGATCTGAGCTTTCCGCTCTACAATGGTGGAATTTATCAAATTTGTAATGGATCCACATGCTGGTCAAAAATTGTCACAAAATTGTAACAGATTTCATGTTTGCCACAAATTTGTAATGAATGTATTCCTCACAAATTTTATCTTTCAAATAAAAAGAAATGTGCAACAAATTTGTGAGAAAGTTAAATGTCTGTCAAAAATTTGAGAAACTTGTCATCACAAATTTATTATTGCAACGATACTACAATTCAAAATGTGGCATCTTGAATCATTAGATTGTCCTGCCGGAACAAAGTTGAAAAACATTACTCACTAATTTTGACATTTAATAGAAGTCTATTTTCTCAAGCAATTAGTGCAAGTCTAATTTGTTTTCTCTTCTTTTTCCGTCAGATATTTTGCTTTATATTTTTTGTCTTTTGTAATGAAAGGAATATACATATATCCCCGTCCATATATTTGAAGTCGCAAATGAAATAGCCGCAGTGGAATGTCAAGGAAACACGTACTACTTTTTCTATAGAATTGTTGATGACAACAAAATGTCGTGTGTAATATCGACTTTTTTTTATTTAATAAACTTTTCATAAAATAGCAAAAGGGAAATGGTATGTTAAAAGGTCGACTTTCTTGAGATTTTGATCAGAATTTTAAGCCAATTCGATGATGGTACGCAACAATATCATTATTCTGATTTTCTTATTTCTGCAGCAAATGAAACTAATTTAATTTTTCACGTACTACTTAACTCTATATTTTCAGGATATTTTAGAATTCTTTTTACGAAACAGTCGGATAAAACCTTTACTAAAGGTGTCTCCACTACTGCAGGGATGAAACAGAGTAGCTAACATTTTTGCACCCAAAAAAAACTTTTAGTCTTCTTTATTCAATTCTTCTTACTAAGAAAACAAAGGTTTCGTACCATCATAAGAGTACTCAACATCAAAACGAAAGGACTTCCAATAACTTAGTAGGAAGCAAAATAAACACACAGAAAATATATGTGAACTTTCTAACAACTTGGAACTAATGAAGCAAATTCAAGAAGCTCAGGGTCACGTTGGAATACAAACATATCTCGTTCATTGAGTGTCACAAATGCATCCAGTCCTCCACTTTGATTACCCATCAAGATAGCCAACTTGTTATTTAGGCCATTTGCTATATTCACCTTTGTAGGCTTTCCCCATCCAAAATCAATTTCGTGAAGTGCAAATTTCACTAAGCTAGTAATCTGATACGCATTAGGCCCATTGTCATGATATTCCTGTTTCGAATTAGCTAGCTCGAGCAATAACGCCACAAATATGTTGTCATTGATGTTGTCTCTGTTGTAAGCTAGCTCTTTTGATTTCCTCATTTCACTGACTAATTTTGATATTGTCATACTTTGTTCATTGGTTATTGATGTTGGACAGATAGTAAGAAGATTTCCAATAGCATTTGGAGGCAAACCAATTTGTGTTCGCAAATCAACTGCTTGAACCATTGATGATGGTTGGAAAAAACCCGAGTTTGCATTTGCTGCTGCAACAGCACGTTTAAAGATAAGTGCACTCACAACTTCTGTACGTGTTGGATTTTGCACCTCTGATTCAGCAGCAACCTTGTTCTTAAGGTTAAGTAATTTTTCGTTAGAGAAAATGTACCTTCTTTGTACACAATCATGTGTGTTTGACATGAATAGCGGGGAAAGAAACGGACCACTTGATGGTGGAGGAAAAATGGATTGTTCAACATAGTGAAGAGATGGTTTTGAAAAATTTGGATCACGAGTTATCTCAGACCAATCGCGAAAAAGATTGTATCCACTGCATCCATCACCAATCTTGTGTGATATACACATACTGATTGCTATTCCTCCACAACCAAAATAGCTGAGCTGAACAACAACTAGTCCGCGATCTGCACTATTCGACCAAGGTAATCCTTGAGGAAATAGCAAATTTTCAACAGCTGAATTGTGCCAGTTAAGAGTTTGTGATATTGGGCAACTGATTTGAGCTTCAATGAATTCGGCCCCCGTGTCATTACAATCAACCAAAGTATTATCCTTAAGCCTTCCGGCATATGGATAATAAGTGGACAAGATTTTCGATAAAGATTCCTCAAGAAGATGTGATATTTGAGTAGGATTATTATTCTTTGAAATAGCATCTAGTTGTTGTTTGGTGTAGAAAAGGGAAAATGGAATGTAAGAGTTGCTGAAAGCTTGATCAATTAGAGAGAGTTTGTGCCATCTTTTAGTATGAGGAGTTGGAGAAGAAGGTTTGATGAGCTTCTCAGAAATTATGGATACAAGTGGAAGAGAAATGGTGGTGGCAGAGGACTTGTTGACATTTTCTGGAGTAGTTCCTATAGGTGATTGAGCAATTGAGGCCATTTTCCTATCTCTGTTTGATTGAATAATACTTTGACTATTGGAAGGCAATGTTTCTTTTTGCTCTATCTACCTTTGTGGTTTAGCATATTTATAGCCAGCAACCTTGAACAAGAGTCGGATGTTTTCACTTTTGAAGATTCGTTATTGGTATGCTAACAATAGAACACCTGATCAATTAAGGATGAAAATTGGGAGAGACCAAAGTTCAAATACTGTCTAACATCCGTAGGTAATTTCTTTGTATCTGTCTTAATTTTAGTGGCAAAGTTACTGGGTATTTGTGCTTATTAGAGAGCTGATACCTAATAGCACAAATTAACTCGAACACCACCACCAAAAAAAAAAAAAACATA